CCCCAAAACCCCAAAACCCCAAAACCCCAAAACCCCAAAACCCCGCAAATAAAGCCCCAGGTTGATACCGAATCTTTAATTTTTATTTTAACTTAACTATGGGTGAAGGGAATCGCTTTTCTCTTTCTAAATTTCCTTGTAATGTGGCTCTGAACGCTGATAGCAGAGTCTTCTTCACAAGCGGACATCAGCATCATGTCTTCAGACTTGAGGTAGTTTAATCTATTTCTTTTCCGAGTCTTTATTGTCTGTAAAGCAGAAAGACTACTTCAGTCTTCTTCAGTGTGGAAATCATTGGAATTAAGCCTGCTTCTAGTCTTAGAGCCTACAGATTTCTTCCCCATGAGTTTATTAAGTCTTTTCTTACTTCTCACTCTTGATTCAGTAGAAATAATGCTGCTTTGAGAACTTGCGGGCATTCATGAATAAGAATCAGAGCATCCCATCATAAGGAATTGGGAATTATCGGTTTTCTTCCTTCTTTTGGGGACCAGAAATGTCTCTATACCCATTTGATTGGGATCTTTCTTCTTAGACTTCATTGTGAGAGTCTCCCTGAGCTTGGAAACTGCTTTAGATTTTCTTTTCTTTCCCCGCAATGCCTCAGAGCCTACATAGTAAGGACGTGGTCTCTTGGCTTGGTTTGGAGGAATGTTCTCCCCATTGCTCTTAGCTTTGGTTTCTTCCTTGTTTTTGGTAGCCTCTTGGGCCTCCTGAGAATTCTTTTCGGCAGCTTTCTTGCTAGGGGTTTCCTTGATGAATTTGACTATAATTTTCCCGCTCTTTTTAAATCCTGAAGTAAAGCTCTGATCTTATGGCAGTCCAAGAAGTTCAAAGTGGGGAATGCTCTTTTGATCTTATCAACGATCTTAGGCTTGTTGTCAATAACATTTTTGCAAAGTTCTCGTAACTTAGCATCTCTCATCTCGCTAGAGAGGGAGGTTTCATCCACATCGATCATTTTCGCTAGTTTGTCCATATTTTGTTAATTTTTGTCTTATTCTATACTGCGCAAACTTTATGGGGTTTTGGGGTTTTGGGGTTTTGGGGTTTTGGGG